CACACACACACACACACACACACACACACATGCACACACACACACACACACGCGCGCATAATGTAACTCACACAGCACGTCCAAATGCACCGTGTCACTGTCCGAGCCCATCCCATTGCTGGCCCGGCAGGTGTAGGTGCCGCGGTCATCGTAGCTCACACGGGCAATGGTCAGTTCGCTTTCCAGCACCCTGTCATTTCGCTGGACATTGTTGATCACCGTTTTCTGCACAGACAATACAAATGTAAAGTAAAACCGAGATGGATAGATAGGTAGATAGATATATCGATAGATCCATAGAAAGACAGAAAGACAGACAGATAGATAGATAGATAGACAGACAGACAGACAGACAGACAGACAGACAGACAGACAGATAGATAGATAGATAGATAGATAGATAGATAGATCGATAGATAGATCGATAGATAGATAGATAGATAGATCGATATATAGATAGATAGATAGATAGATAGATAGATAGATAGATAGATAGATAGACATTTTATTCTTTGACTTAACATCATCCCATTTTTCTTGTTTTGATTTTCTTTAAGCATAACAGTTTGTACCATGTTGGCACATTTTTACGTAACTTACAAATATCGTATTTTTAAAAAATGGGACACAGGACAAAAACCCCCCAATCAACAACAACAAAATCAACAAACAACCTCCCTCCTTAAAAAAAACCCACGCCTAAAAAGAGGAAAATAAAAATTTTAAAACGCACAAAAAAACAAAACAATTATTATAGACTGACCGAGTCTGAGTGTAGAATCCTGTTGTTGACCGACCAGCCGATGTGAGGCTTAGGCCTGGCGTGTGTCCGGCACGTGACCTTGACCGTGTCGTTCTCTGTGATGACGTCAGACTCCAGAGGCAGGATGGACACTCTCGGCTTGGCTGGGGAGACAGACAACACAATCATCTTGGCTATAGCGTGGTGTGGATTATTGTTTTTTTTGGTGTGTTTTACGCCACCATCAACACAATTTAGTACAGGGGTCTCAAACTCGCGGCCCGTGGGTCGATTATTGACGACTACAGGACTATACTGCCGTTAGCTGACAAAACCCTTTTTTTCATTTTTGGCCCCTAATCTTTTTATTGCAAAGCCTGATTAGTTACTCTACTGGTACGAAAAAAATTCAAAGTGAAACTGTGACTAGCTTTTGATTAAATTCAAATTCAAATTTCGGAAGAACGCCTCTTTTTTAATGGTTACGCTGACAAAAATACCTCTTTATCTCCTAACTGTTGTGAATTTTTGGTACGATGGCATTTTGTCAAAAATCACAAAATGGAAATGGCAAGGAAATCAATTTTAAAGGCTTGTAGACGTAAAACTTCATTTCTGTTCTTCTGTTGGTTTTAATATTTTTTGGTGTGATTTCCAATTCTCTTGCAGTAAGGAGAATGTTAGAGAAGCGAGTATTCAGAAGAACTGTTCATGCTTTGAAACGTTTTTGATAAACATTGAAATTTTCATGAGGCATGATTTTCACTTTTTGTTGTTGCTTTTCTAGTTTTGAAACAAAGAACATCGCACAAACTGAGTCATAATTTGATCTAAAACATGTTTTAAATATCCTACATACACAAGAGTGCACATTTCTTTGCTAATGAGTGGCTTATTACTCATTTATTGCGATTTCTCAGAGGTTCACACTCTGAGCGTACCTCATAATCAGAGTATACATATATTAAATGGTCACACGCCTAACAATATAATTTCTTTTCGCCCTTCGCCCAACAACCCAGGTAAACTTAGAATAAAAATCGTCTTTCTTTTTAGCCGACTAGAAACGTAAAATCAAAATCAATTGGGTTTTTTTTTTTTAACCCTTACCTTTTCTGTGTGGAATACTTCATGTTGCCCGGGCTCACCCAGACTCTACCCACTGCATCCCCAGAGTAATTTGAGTTTGAAGCTCATTGTTTAGATAATCTAAGAGGTTAGCTACTTCGATCCTACCTGTCAGGGTCAATCCGGGGTCAGTGGAATACTACGTACAGGTAGGTAGACGGGTAAAAAGTAAAGGAAAAAACAAACTTCCCCACTTGGGAATCGAATTCACGTCCTCTTTGTTCAAAAGAAAAGAATGTAACCAAATACACGTACCTATTGCCCCAAGCTCGATAACAGCGAGAAAACAATTAATACGTTTCCTATTTTCTCACGGACCTACATAAAATTTGAAAGGAATGTCATGCATGTTTGATTATCGAACACCATAATCTATGTGAACAAGTCAGCAGCAGCAGGATACTTTAAAATAAATAATATATGATTACGGATGATGGATAGATAGAGAGATAGATGGATAGATAGATAGATAGATAGATAGATAGATAGATAGA